TAAAGGACCCATTGGAGACATCATTAACCTGACCCCCTTTGAAATGCAGTGATCATCCCAATTAAGTGGCACTTAAAGTGCCAGCATTCTGTTGTTGCCCTGGCCTGGATAGCCTGATCTTCTCAGACCCTCTGAAGCTAAGCAGGGTCAGCCCTAGTTAGTACTTGGATGGGAGACCACAAAGGAAGCCCAGGGTTGTGACACAGAAGAAGGCAATGGCAAACCACCTCTGAACATCTCAGGCCCAAAAATCACTACGAGGTCGTCATAGGTCAGCTGTGACTTGATGGCACTTTCCACCAACAATTTTGTTGTTGCGTAAGAAAAAGGGCTGACAAAACCCTTGGGGCTGTGCACTTTGCACCTCTCTGGAACCTTAAGTCATGTTGCCCTCATTCAGCCTCATCTAGAGACAACAACGATGTGGCCCCAGCCACAGAAAGTCACTTAAATCCAAACAAAAAGGTCTGCATTTTACCATCAAGTCCAAATATTTCACACCATGGGAAGGCAGAAGGAGAAAATAATACTGTCTGCCTCTCTTTCTAACGAAGTTTGAGTCCACTGGCACCTTTAAGACCAACAAAGTTTTAATCAAGGTATGAGCTTGAAACCCCCTGAAACAATACTGATCTTCATAGGCTACGAAAGACACAGAGAGAAGGACAAATAAAGGGAGAGACACAGAGAGTGAGACACGGAGAGAGAGACACACAGAGGGACACAGAGAGAAACACAGAGAAACAGAGGGACAGAAAGAGGCACACATAGAGGGACAGAGAGAGAGACACAGAGGGGCACAGAGAGAGAGAGAGAGAGAGAGAGAAGGGCAGAGAGAGAGAGGCTCAGAGAAATAGAGACACACAGACACAGAGGGGCAGAGAGAGAGAGGGTCAGAGAGACAGAGGGGGAGAGAAAGACACACACACACAGAGGGACATAATAAGGTGAAGCAGGTGCCCCCCTTTCCCATTCAAATAGTAGTTTTACATTCTTACTTTTACTGTTGGGTTTTATAATTTTGATCTTAAATTCGTGTAGTTAGGGAAAATCCTTATTGATTAATGCTTTCGAAAATATTTGTTTAGTATCCCAGTTCACTGCAGAATTAAACTTTACTTTTAGTATCATAATTTTAGCAGAATTGTACTCAAAAGATTTCAAAGCATACTTTCCTTAACTTAAATATTTATTTTGCCATATGGGACAAATGGTTTTTTTTTTAATTTCCCCAGGTCTCTATTAATTTTCAGTGTAGTTTTTAAATAAATCATATTGTTTTGTATATTTCTT